CATAACTATTCCATTTTCCTTTGTCACACAGACCCATACACAAGTCCACTCAAGGCCCTCTCTCAAGCAGACCCCTGTATCCCTACAGAGCACACCCACCCGTCACACAGGTGCTACAGTATGTTTGCTTAGCCAAGACCAGCCATCGACCTTGTGAACTGCTTATTTTTACACTATTTCTAAAACAAAAATCCTATTTATCTATACAGATCTTGCCAAATGAGTGCAGTTTTCAGCAAAAACAGGAATGTTTAGATCTTGAGGGAAGTTCTTATCTATAAGTCTAAATTCCTGTTTTTCCACTTGAATTTCTTATTCTTCTTCCCCACTTCATCAATGGCAGCCTTTGTTAGTCTAAGTCTCTAGCTCCCTTTCCAGCCCAACCCTTGTACAAGCATTTGAATCGCAAGGTGGTTCTTAAAAAACAAAACAAAACAAAACAAAACTGCCTAGAGTATTCTGATCAACTCTGTGTAAACTGATTTTTATCCAGAAAGCTGTTAGGAAAGTGTTAGGTTGGGAGTCTGAATTCTTAGAGTCTGTTCTGCTTCTGCCACTGATTTCTCAGTCCACCCCTTTGACTGGGGAGTGAGTGTTTATTACAGTCAGCTTGCTGACCATCTCACCAGCGAGGGGTACAAAAAGAGTCACAATGTCTTTTTGACTTGACTCTTCCAGAATACAGGGTCAGTGGGAAGCTGGGAAAATACAGTCTGATGAGTCCCTTTGATAGAATGTGCATGAAGGGAGTGACAGGAGACTCTGTGACCATTCAACCATCCATTTACAAATAAGTTCCCGTGCCTGCTAGGTGCCAGGGCTTGAACCTGGTGCTAGGGTTAGAGCTGGTGCCTGCCTTCCAGTTTATGTTGAAAAGTGGAAAAGGTGGAAATACCTGAGGGTAGTAACTTCACGGTGCAGGAGGTTCTGGGATAGGAGCACTGAGTATGGCATGCAGTGGAGGCAAAGAAGGGAAGCAGTCAGTCTTCTCTAGGGAGAGAGGAAAGGCTTCATTAGCTGTGGTCTTGAGAGATAAGCTGAGTCTTGAAAGATGAGTTGGTAATTTGATGGGGGCAGAATGTCCTAGAAGAAGTGTGAGCCAAGGTCCAGAAGGCTCAGGGAACTTTGAGTAGCTAGCATGGCTGGAGCTTACTTGGAAAGAAGTCACACCCAAAGCTGAGATGGCAGGGAGCAGATTTTGGATCAGTCCTTCTGTGCCACTGCTCAAAAACTGGGATTTGATCTTTTCAGCAGTGGAGGCCATTAAAGAATTTTAAGATGGACTTGATCTGGCTTGAGCTTTTGAAAGATCACTCTGGTTCTCATTTGGAAAATGGACAAGGAAAGGAACAACTGGCTGGAGGCAGAGGCCCCAGTTGGGACATTTCGCATCAGCTACCCATGCTGGTGTCCAGGACCTAGACTGAGGCGGAGCCATTAGGGGTGGAGATGTTAAGGACAAAGGCTTGAACGAAAGCATCTTTCTCATTGACACCTAAAATTTGATTATTAGGATTAATTCTTTTGTGTTACATTTAATATTAGGGATTCATTCCTTAATAGGATAGCATGGGATTTAAGAACATGGACTCCACACCTAAATTACTATGGTTCAAATCCCTGCTCCACCACTTACTAGCTGTGCCACCTTGGGCAAGTTCCTTGTCTGTGCTTCAGTTTCCTGATCCATAAGATGGGAAGGACAACAATCATTTCTACCTCATAGTGTTACTGTGTGGATTAAATAATACAGGTAAAAGATTTAGAACAGTGCCTGGCACATAGCAATTTTATTAATTCATCTACATTAAGGCCTGTCCCAGCAGTCTTCTTCTAATATGAAAATACTCTTGGCATAGATAACAATAATAATATGTCACTTGTATAGTACTTTACAACTTACAAAATATTATCTCATTTATTACTCAGAGCACAGTACAGGAGTGACTGCTCCGTTTATGAATGAATAAAGAACAGCTCAGAGAGGTTAAGGGATTTGCTCAGAGTCTGAGGTGGTATCTGAGGGGAGGGGGGCGGGGCATGCATTCATTAGGTACCTCACTCCTCAGAGGAAATGTTTTCCTTTCATAAAATGGATCAGAGTGAGAACATTGTACTCCCGGAGACAGGGAGAACACTAAAAGGAGGCGGAAGGTGCAGGAAGAGGAGTTGGAGCCCCCAACATAAACTTTACATGCTTAGAGTTTTGACCAAGGCCAATCCTACAGGAATCATTTTTCACTTTCTCACCAAACATCTTGGCGGATCTCTCAAACTTGACTAATACCCAACTTAAATACCACCATGAAACTTGAACTAGAAAAGCGAAGTCTGTCTCAGCATTTGGGTTAATCATTTATTAAAACTACCTTAGCAGTTGTTCATTGTGTAAACAGCTGGACCATCTGTGATAGAACCTGGAGCTAGGGTGTCAGGTTGAGCAAATATTTGACAGGCAGAGAAAGGTCCTTGTGTGGAATGCACTTTCTAACAGGTAACTTGCAATTTGCTAGATCCGATATGCAAGCTCCTGGAAATTGGCATGTTTTCAACAGCTCCTCCCCCAATTTCTCCTGGCCACGCCGGTCAAAAGCAGAACACACAATGCAATATGCACATGACGTATCATTGAAATGCACACTTGATACCTACATAATTTTATTAACCAATGTCACCCCAATAAATAAATCTTAAAAAAAGCAGAAGTCCCCGGATTCCTCTATGCTGAATTAGGCCTTCTGCTTATTAACCAAGTAAACGAGCTGAGAAGACCCCAGCTGTTTCTCAGCCAGTAGTTCCCTCTTGCCTGAGCTAATAAGACAGAGATAGAAGAGGTGTGGAAATGTGTGGCTGTGGGAACTCCCCAGCACAGGCCAGCACGGCAGTAATTAGGAGATTTTATGATCTAGGAATTCATTTGGCGCTTTGGGAAGAAGAAGGGA